TAAGTGAACTTTCTTTCGATTGGTCAAATTCAATCTCAATCTCAAGCGTTAGCTTGATTAAATCACACTTGGCGTTTTTGTCTACACCTTTTTTCGATCGTATTTTCAAATCATTCTAATTTGTCCGAGTTCAAACTTGGATCTCCGAAAAAGACCTCCGTTTATTCGATCTTTTATAATAATTTTTTTACATTCACAGCGAATCGATGACTACAATTGTTTCTCGAGGCTTTGCCCCCGTTTTTTTCTATTCGCGAAAATAGATTTTTTCCGATTTATACTCTCTTTTTTTCTTTTTTTTTTCTATAAAAGCGAAATCTTTGCGATTAAGGCAGTATCGTTCAACACGACGCGTACGATTTCCGCTACGATTTAAGCATACGAATTTTTAAGTATAATGTTCCGCGTGCATATCGTACCTCGCTTGCGCACACGAGCTCCTTTTCAAATTGCATATCAGGTACGATCGAATGTCGCGAGTGTACCAATCTTCCGACGATGAATTATTCATTGTGTAAATAATTCATAAATCATTGCGGGCTGCACAAGCCGCGCGAGCAGCAAAACCCGATCGAAAGCTCGAAAGCTTGCCACATGATATTTTTCAAGGAATCTATTAGTGTTTCTTCGCAATATATTGAAACGTTCGACGACATCTCTTTCACCTTTTACAATTTCAATTTTAGACAAAGAGACTTAAACATTTTATAGGTTGAAATCTTAAAGATCGGACCATACAATGGATGCTTTTCATTTAAGGACCTACACGGTCAATAATATTGAATCAGTAATCACTGACAGTACGCATCAATATTTATAGTATTTTTATAATTTTACGCGATCATTATTATTGACAATATATTTCCCTTTTGTTTTACGTACATCATCTATTACACTGTGACATACATTGTGGTATGGATCTTAATAAAGCGATATTAATGCTCGAAAATTAAAATCCAGATCACCGTCAGTATATCTACATCAATTCGTCAACATCAGTCACACACGGTCAGCAATATTGTCAGTATATTTGTTAGTACCGACAGTATTATCGACCGTGTAGGGTCACCCTAATGATGCACAAGGTGGTACAAACCTCATCCTGTCTTTCTTAATAAAAAACGTAGAACGTCAGCTTGTGTCTACTTGCGTCATCAAATACATATATATATGGGAATAAACCCAATCTTTTCGATCCCTCTTCGACAGGTACTCGGTACGATTCCGTGGCTTTGGCCACGAGTTAGGATACACTTCCAGCGGAAGTGTTAAAGTCGTAAAGATCGAAACGATGCCGTAACTGCTCTCCCAGCTCTTCGCTTTCGATACCCACACGCATTTCCGGCGCGAGAACAGTATCGACGCCTAACATCACCGGCGACGAGTGATGCGTCGATCCGAGAGACGTCGAGACCCTCGTAGAAATCCTCCGAATGTTATACACCAAACGCGCTGTAGCGAGGTGGCACTCGTCGCCCCTCTCTCTCTCTCTCTCTCTCTCTCTCTCTCTCTCTCTCTCTCTACCTGACGCGAGAGGAAAAGAGAGGAAAAGAGAGGAAGAATGAGCGAGCGATGTACCATGGGGCGCGAGGGCGGCGTTGCCCGTGTACAAATCACGCAAAGGATGACGCGGCATCCCGGCTTTCCGTCTTCCGTCGCTCCTCCTCGCGCGTGCTGGACGTCGTAGGGCGAGACAGCGTTGTGTGCATGTTGACGACGCTCGACCCGGGGACCTTCGCCGCGCGTATCACCATATCGCAAGTCATTCGCCCTCCGTTCTCTCCTCGGCAGATGCGCCCTTTATATATAATCTTGTACGTCATTAGAATTATTAGACCCCAAAGGGACTTTAGTCGATTTATCGTTAGTAGGAGGGGTTTTGATATATTTGTATATTTTTGGAAACGTTATTCCTCAAAAAGTCCTTCTCGCTAAAGAGTTTTTTGTATTGCATATTTACCGCTATTATTAGCACTGAAAATATTAACATTTTGATAAACGTAGATAATCTATTGCTGATTAAATAAAGAAAAAGTTGTGTATCCAGAAGATAGCATTCGATTACATCGTACGAAACGTAACGTTGTATTAAACAGCGTGACATTGTTTCCTTAGTTCAAAAGTGACATAATGAAAAAAAAAACTTAAGGAAATTATTAATTAATCAAATAATATCGACGGGAAGAATGTATACATATATATTCTTAGAAATATGATCAAATGTCGTCATTTTTGTTATTTTGGTTTTCTGTAATTCCTTAAAAATAATCTTTCTTTATTGCGATTGTCTATAAAATTATAACAATTCGGAATAGTTCATCAAAAGTGACGTAACTTGAAATATCGTCAGAGTTTATATTTACTTCAATGATCAACTACAATGATTCAATTCAGAATAAAACAATTTCTGTTTTAAATTTTAATCGCCAAAATTATCTACTCTAAATGTTTTCTGTAGAAGACTCTCTTTTCTATTTACGAAAACAATCAAATTTCTCTCTCTCTCTCTCTCTCTCTCTCTCTCTCTCTCTCTCTCTCTCTCTCATTCTTGTAGAAAACTTTTAACTAAAAAAATCACATTTTTTTAGTTCAGTTACTTTTGAGATAAGGAACCTATATAATTACACAATGACATCTTTGTAATAATTTAAGTTAAAATTGAGAAATATGAACTAATTAAACGAGTCACGTCTCCTTTTGTTCTCAGCAGACGTCGGACCTGGACACTTTGCTGTGCAGGCAGGATCTCGATCGTCTGCAGAGGTTGGACGAGGATGAATCGGACGCGAGAGATGCGCGGGAGCCGTCCGTGCACATGGAGGACTTCTTCGAGGTCGGCGGACCTACGGCGGTGTGCCGACCACCGCAGGCCAGTTTCGTTTCCTCCAGGAGTCAGCCGGCGGGCGCCGGTCAGGACGACGACGTCTTCCTCAGGCCGCCGCTCTGGGAGGATATCACGTCGAGTATCCAAAAGTTGGATCCGGAAAACGCGGATATGTTGGGTTCGCAGTCTCATATAAAAATGGAGACTGACGATGTGACACCGCCGCCAGTTCTCTCCCCGGTGGAGATCAAGACGGAACCGTTACCGCCACCGCCGACCTTGCATCTCCTCGAGGGACCGGCCACAAATCCCTCGCAGAATCCTTTTCCAAATCCCTCTAGTGTTCAGCACGTCGTGCATCATCGGACGACGACGGCGACAACGGCGACAACGGCGGCGCTTTTCAAGAGCTTTCCCAACAGTAACAACAATAATAATAATAATAACAACAGCAGGACTGTTAATAGTAATAACACGAGCGGGAATAATGCCGGTAGCAATAACGATAACGGCAACGGCGCCAACAGCAACAACAACAGTAACAACAACGGCGGTAGCAATAGCGACTCGTCAACGACCAGTCATCATCAGCCGAGCGGCAACGCGACATCGCCGCTCTACGGCTCGATGACGAGACTGATGTATATTTCGCCGCTGACGCCACCGATCTCCGATCCCAGCTCACCCATCGGCGCCGGTCCACCTAGGCGGACACCGCCACCCCCGTATCCCCAGCCAGGCCCGATTCTGAATCCGGCCCACAGGATCCAACCGCCGTCGATGTCGACCAAGTTCAACAGACGGAATAACCCGGAGTTGGAGAAACGCCGGGTGCACCACTGCGACTTCATAGGTGAATATATGGAATATATGGAATCCTTAAAGAACTTATTGTTATTCTTAATAACAATATCGATGTCGTTAAGAGTTGTAGAATCTTAGAGCGGTATTCATAGTCAGATCTTATATTCAAGACCCGTCTTAGTACAGTTTTAAGAAGTCACGAACCAATCAGAGGGCCTTATTAGCGTCTTAAGATATTTTTTACGACAGTCTTGAAATAAGAGCGAACTACCGCCTACTGAATACCGCTCTAAGGCTCCTGTTCTGTAATTCTTTTTTTTTTAAAGAATTAAAAGAACAACTATACATTGACTTATTTCGTGTATGTGTGTGTGTGTGTGTGTGTGTAACATTAAATTAAATATTAAACTAAAATGTTTAATTTCTGAAATTTTTTTGACAATATTTGTAGATCCGAGTAAATACGCGATAAATATATTTTTGTCACTGTGTCGGCTATTAATTTGATAATATTTTTAATAAGTAATTTGTATTTAAAAAAATAAAACATATGTCGAAACTCCCTGTTAATGCAGCACTTTACAAACATCATATAAGATTTTGACTTTATCGTTTCGATCGCACTCTTTAACTTCGATCTCCGACCTAATTTCTTGTTCTCTGTTTGCAGGTTGTACGAAAGTCTACACAAAGAGTTCGCACCTGAAGGCCCATCAGCGGATACACACGGGTGAGTGAAAACGCTGCTGTACTTTGACGTTTCACGTCGTGCACGTGGTTGCTAGTACAAGGGAGATAACGTTCAAATTAGGGGGAGGGGCTTCCGTGTGTTCTCTGGTAATTAGGTATGTAGCTCATCTACGCGAAGAGAGACGAAGAGTTTGAAAGCGCGAGGTCGAGTAGTCGACGTTTGCGTGTGGGCAGGGCGCGGTCCTCAGCCGTCTCTCTCTCTCTCTCTCTCTCTCTCTCTCTCTCTCTCTCTCTCTCTCCCTCCCCCTCTTTCTTTCTTCTCTCTGTCTCTTCTTTTCCTCTCTCAGTTCCTCCACTGGCATTATTTGCGCGCGGTGTCGCGCAAAGGCGCTTCTATCATATGTAAACGTGGTAAGGGACGCACGAAGCTCTCGTGGTATGCGACTCTCCGCTTAGAGCGAAGCTAGCGACCGACCCACATCTTATCCATGTCCAAGCTTCGCCAACACACGGACGCGAGTCGCGCGGCACCAACACCGGCTGCCGCGCGTAGCTACCTGGACGGACACGCACGCTAGTTCCCACACGCGCGGAGCGCGCGCGAAAGAGCGAGAGAGCGTGAGAGCGAGAGAGATAAAGATGGGCGGAGAAAAGGACGAAGAGATGTGCTTCCCGCACACGTGCCTACGCGGCAGTCGCTCGCGGAATGCAAGCCGGAGGCATCTTAAGTGCGATGTACCACTTTCGAATTGATACCTCGGTGAGTTTTTGCGGTAAACCCGTGTCACACACATCGTCTGAAACGAATCGGTTTCGAACGATATAAAATTTCAAACGATTCAAAAAACGCGCGCAAAGAGGATCAGGGCGAAAGGACAATCGCACGCTTAAATCCTTTTATCCTTCGCTTCGCGCGTGTTTATTTTCTGAAAATTTTGTATATAATTAATAAATTATCTTCTAAATTAATAATTCGACATCTGAAAATGATTAAAACATCTCGTTACCTAATGTAACCTTACGGATTCACATTGAAATATAAATAGATTAGCACGCGACCACCTTTATATACTTGTATATGCGCCAGAGTGTTTCAAACCTCGCCTTTGTATCCTCCGTTTGACATTTGAATCTAATAGGCATGTTTTCCTCTGCGCTCGCGCGATAGATATGCCAGCGATAGATACCAGCTAAATTAATTTACTACCAGCCACTTTGCCGCGACTTGTACATCTTGTCCGTCGATCAATCCTTACGACATTCCGTCGATCGATTAGAACGGAGAACCGATCGATATGCGAGATTGTACGAGGATATTTCAATTTGTCGCGCGATCTCTCGAATACAGGCGAGCGAGAGACACGGCCGAGCCGAGACGGGATCGACGGGGAACGCTTAGCTTCGACGTGGAGGAGAAGCCGAGGGGGGCACGTGGCCCTCGCCACTCGCCACTCGCCACTCGCGCGCGAGTCGGTCGGACGACTCGTGAATGAACCCTCGCTGCACCGCTGTCAATGCACCGTGCCACGAGTCGCGTGTGTTCGACTTCGTTATTAATTCATTTACGTCTAGAAATTATTATTACGTATTATATACGAAAATGATCTTTATAATTAATGCGATAACTAATAGCTGACTCATAATCGACGCGATAAATATAGATTTAATATCATAATTTATATTTAATCGTGACTTATACGTGACTTATAAGTGATGACGGCATAAAAAAAAAATACATAATTTAATTACTTTCATCCTTAATTGAATCAAAGAATGTTATTAATCAAACTATCAAGTTCTAATCATTTTCTGACATTTTTTCATACGTGTTTATCTTCTAAACATTTTTAATAATAATAAATAATTAAGAAATTACTAAATTATCTTCTAATTAGACTGAAGATAATTTAAACATCTCGTTTTCATGATTATACGTGTATATATATATATTGTATATATATATATATATATATATATATATATAACAATATATATATGTATATATAAATATATATAATATATACTTGATTGTTCCAACTTTTAGAATAGTTTTCCGATCTGAAAGAAATCAAAGTTTAAGCGCTATCATTAATCAAGAGATTAATCAAGATCCAGACATTGCGAGAAAGCCCGGTAGCTGAAGAAATCTGGATCAAAGTAGGGCTAGGAAGCGTATTTGGAAAGCAACTTGCCCGCGGAATGGAGCGCTGTCGGCTCTCGGGTGAAAGTGATCCAAAATTAACGGGGACGCCTGGAGACCCCGTAGGTGTCGCCGGTTCGACCGATCGACTCTGGAGACATCGTAATAAAACAATATCATATTTCGCGAAAATCGGACGAATCGAAGAATAGTCACGCTCGCAATTTTACGTTTTAAGCAGTTAAGAATGTTGAAGAGAATTTCTTCGAAATAAAAATGACTTTCATATAAGACTTTCATAAAATCCTCGAGCGTAAATGTTGTCGAAAAGTCGCAAATATTACGTACGTCACACAGAGCTCGTGCCACGTAAATTCCAACGTGCATTGCATTTATCAAGAATTTTATCGAGCGTTTAAACTTCGAAAATATCTTTGCAGAAAGGAGAATAATTTTTATAAATTCACTTTCCATTTCTATACATTCTTATTCTTTTTTTGGGATTATATATTTTAGAACGTTCGACCCGAGAATAGTCATCGAATGTTTTTACGCTTTAGCGGCGAAAAAAGTATAAATTGTAAAATATGATTTTATATGGATAATGTTTAATGTATTTTCCTTGCTTTAAATATGCAATTCCATTGAAAAGCCGCAATATAAAAGGCGTTATATTAATTTATTAAAATCTCTATTTTTTTTTTAAATACTATCATAATAAGCCAAATATTGTACTTAACGTGCTTATTCGGTTTAATGTTAATTTAGTTTCTACTTACTTTTTTCAAAACATTAAATCCATATCCATAATTGTTTCCAAATACTAATAAATCAAAAAAAAAAAAAACAATCAAATATACAATACGTTATTAATAACAGTGATTTTGATTAGAGTATAAAAACACTTTAACTAATCGATTTATTTCCGAGTAAAAAAATCGGATGACTATTCTCCCGGGTTAATCAAGTTATTAATAAAAAAATCTTTTTTTCTGAAATTATTTGTCAGCAGGATAAATGTTGAAGTAGGAATGAACCTGCTAATGTCAGCCGACAGATCGAGAGGAAATTTCGCCGTTCTCGCCGGCGGAGATCCGCGGGAGAAGAATTCTCACGTGAACGCGCGCGATACCGTAAATGGATAGCGCTCGTGGTGGTAGTACCGTTCCTTGGGCTGTGCGTCGCGTGGCACGGTGCGACGTGATGCTGCAGCGCTGAATGCAACTCTCGCGGCGCGCCGGCGAGGACCGGTTAGGGTCGTCTCCGTATGCCGTACCTATAGCGCACGAGAGAGGAACAGGAACGAGCTAGAAGGATGCGTGGGTGTATCTCTCAGCTATCGAGTTCTTTCTTCTCCTCTTCTGTGCGTGCTCGCCCTCCCTCCACCCTCGGATCCCCCGTCGGGCCTCCGCCTCGGTCGCTTTTACTCGCTCAGCCACTCGCTTCTTTACTCACCGTTCCGCGCATCGCTAAAGAATCTTTCGTCGCGATCAAATTCGCGAACGGCTCGGAGAGGCGATTGTTGGCGTAGGAGACATTTAAAGTTTGAACACAGTATACACAGTATATACAGTAGCGCAACTCTCTCTGTCGGCACCTTTGATGTTAGTGTTGGCCAAAATGGAGTGCGCATGCGTGAAATAAGTAAGAGTTATCTAGCGCTACCACGGTTACCACTTAAACTTCTTTCGCTTTTTTCATCCCTTTTTTACTCTGTCAAAATTCCTCGCAAAACTCACTAGATTTATTCGCATCGCAGTCCAACGAATTCGTTGAAGTGCTATGTAGGAACATATTGGAGCATATTAGAGCATGCGACGTGAATAAACCTAATATTATTGCGATGAAATAATTTAAACTTTATGAAAATGGATAAAAATAAATTGTAAATTGAAAAATAAAGAAAAAAATATAGAAAAATTAGGAAAAATGTTAAATTAACTTAAAAATGTATATTTTTTTGTATAAAGATTTTGTATAAAGAAATATTATGTAATTATATATCTATGAAAATGTTATGAGAAAGCTGATATAAAAGAAATTTATATACATATATGTCCAAAAAATAAGTTTAAAATATTGTATAATAAATAAAAAGAAATCCTTTTCGCTCGATTTTCTAGGTTACTTTTGGTTCACTTTTTCACAAAAATTAGACCAATCTCTCGAGATTTCTCACATAACATTTCACCAAATGGACAATACACGTAATACTTCCCTCTAAATTTCTACTCTGAACCATGCTTGGAAGACAAATGTTTAAGTGAAATATTGAAACGCTTATTTAAATAGAGAGAGAAAGAGAGAGAACAATAAAAAAAGGAGGAAAAGAGACGGGGCAACTTACTTATTTCACGCATGCGCACTCCATTTTGGCCAACATAAAATCAGGAGAGTTGCGCTACTGTATACACTGTGGTTTGAATGAATCCCGTAGGTAATTTAAACGCACGAGGTGCGTTTTAAGGATTATGAAAGTGTCTAAAGCGAACCTGTCGAATCCGATTCGACGATCCACCCTCTAGTTCTTGATTATAGCGATTATACATGTTATATTAATTATTACCCATACATAAAGGGACGAATTTCACACATGAAATGAATAACGGAGTATAAACATAACATAAGGCCGCTAAACCAATGAGCGTCTTATGTAAATCAATATGGCGACATTATGCTAGATACTCATTGGTCCAGCAGTTTTACGTTATGCTTAAGCTTTGTTATGCATTTCATGTGTGAAGTCCTTAAGGGCCATCGCACACAAAATGACATAAGCTGCATAAGCATAGCATAACACCGCTGGACCAATGATTATCTGACAAAAAGACACTATATTGATTTGCAGCTCATGTCATTTTGTGGTCCTAAGGCTGGAAGCACAGAATATTGCAGAACGCATTATGATGAATTAAAAGTCAAAGTCCTTCATTTCCTTTCTTTCCATGAAATAAAAGACTCTGATTGGTTAATTTTCTTACGCCTTATGCGTTATGTGTGCATTCCGACCTTTACTAAAAGTATAACATCAATACTACAATTTCGCACTCAACCGTTACATGTGTCGTATTACATTGAATACATTTATATCGAATGCGAAATTATGAACATTTAGTTACATACACAAAATCGTCATTATAACAGATATATAAAAACGTGTATATTTACGTATATATACGTTATATTTGTGTTTACTGAGTAGGTATTCATTAATTTGCCTTTTAATGCGGGACCATGTTCGAGTTGACGATTGGTATCCTCCACTTGTCTCGCTCTGATTCTAAATGTCAATTCCCCAAGTCCGATCTGCGTCCGTATTTCGATGGGCCGAGCATCCAAGTAAATTTTAACGTCAATCGTCGCGCGCGAGCTCTCAATCCCGTTTATATAAAGATAATAACACGCCGTAGGCGCGTGTGAAATAATAATAACAATAAGGAAGGCATACTCCTCGATAATCGGCGAAGCTGAGCGGAATGCGGGCATGTTGGTTCGCATTAGCCGGTTGCAATGTTGCATTCAGTTGCATTCGGCCGGCCGCTTATACTCGCGCGCGGTCCGGCCGGTGCGATTGCGCTAGAATACAGGTGAGCGTGTTGCGGCATGCAGGTACAGTTAAAGGTCACACCGTGCTGCATCTCTCGCAGCTGAGAGGCGCGACGGGGTATATATATATATATATATATATACCTAAGTGTACCGCATCCCGCGGCTCTATCTCACAAAGAGCAACGCTTTGTTCTCTAATAGGTCGCCGCCGTCTCGAAACTCGAACGGAATTCTCGCTCGTGAGACGTACTACGTTCGAGTCGCACCGATTGAACTCCCCTGTACACCGATGTGTGTACGCTCTCGCACTTTCGTGTAGAAAGATATGCCGAGAAGGACTCGAGGACTTGCACGAAGCACTACCGTAAATATGCACCTCGAAATATGTATTTTGTATTAGAAATAACGGAAGAACGTAAAAAAAAAAAAAAATAGATTAGAAACTTGCAGGAATTAATGAAACTCTTGAAATGGAGTATATCACGGAGGAAAGTGATTAAGTGACAAATCAAATTATCCACGTTGTATCTTTACTTAAGAATTAATCGTTCGAAGTAAGTGTAATCGGCGATTCCAACAGCTCATTAGTCGTAATAATTATTATACGGTCGCTCTCTTAGACACGCATCGTTGTGCACGTTTTCACTTATGTCTTTCCTCTTGTTGGCTGTTTCAGGCGAGAAACCGTATCAGTGTCAATGGCCGGAATGCGAGTGGCGATTCGCCAGGAGCGACGAATTGACGCGGCATTACCGCAAGCACACCGGGGCTAAGCCCTTTAAATGCGCGGTCTGCGAGCGCTCCTTCGCCAGGAGCGATCATCTCGCGCTGCACATGAAGCGGCACCTCCCGAAGCAGCACACCAAGTGAAGAGAGTACGAGAGTATGGACAGAGAGAGAGAGAGAGAGAGAGAGAGAGAGAGAGAGAGAGAGAGAGAGATCTTCTCTTTGCTTCCCGTTCGTTCTCGACTACCTGTGTTGGACGCGCGCTGCGTGGTTTTCGCCATTCAGGCTTCGAAGCGCGGAGCTTTACGAAACTAGTTGGTTGGAGAGCATCGAGAGTTTAGAAACGTGTAGAAATTATTAAGAAGAAAAGAAAAAAAAAAAAAAGAAAACTGTTTCTCACACAGATATTATCGTAATTTCTAAATGGAGCGATATCTATGACATTATTATTGCAAGTATTCTACGTTCAGCAGAACAAGCAGTTGCTTTGCAACTATTGTAAGATTCTTCGAGACATGATCGATACAGATTTAGATCCAAGTGAGGAACCAAGGGAGAAATCAATCCGTATTAGAGAATAATTGTAAAACTGCTTTTTCTTTCCATCCCGTTTTTGTTTTGCCGCAAATTCAGCGGATCTTTTGAAATTGACTTTCGATCCGCGGGAACAGCACCTTCGAACGAACTCACGCTCGTTTACGCGATCGTCGATGCAATTGAATTCGCTGCATCCTCCTCGATACGATTATTCCGCTATAGTTTCGGAGTCGGCTGTAGGCCCGATCGTCGATCCCGATTTGCAATATATAATACATATCAAGGGAAGCATTTCGAAGCGTCCCGAACGAAGCCGTCTCGACTCGATCGCTTCGGTTACGCTCACTACTGTTCGGTTAAGCGGTCATGACGAAATACATCCTCGGTGTGGGTGGGTGGTGATCGTGAAATATTAAAAAGGAAATATTTCGTCACAGCGCGCTGTATACTCACTTACGGACCGATTCCTCGATCGAACTGTAGCGTAACTTCACACCGACGGGATGGGCCCCGAGCCTATGCGAAGAGAAGTGAAGCCAATGCTCTTGGAAAGTAAAAGCGAAAACATCCGTCTTAAAAAGGCAGGTTCTTCACTACTAATCTTTCGCATTCATTTCAAAACGTGTTTTACCTTTGATACTTTATCGAAATATTTGCATATTGCGGATGATAAGAATTTTTTTTCTCCCTTCGCAATCTTTTCTACGTATTCTTATTTGCTTGAAGAAATTCAAACGGCAGCTCCGCTATTGTCATTCATATATTTTTCGAAGCTGCATACGAGCCGTCATCTCGCGACGCCGTCCCTCGAGTCCCTCGAGAAATGATTTGCCAGATTAAAGCGACGCTATCTCGAAATTATCGCTATCTCTTAAGCTGGCTGCGACTCGAGATATCCTGTTTGGTGTGTAAACGATCGTCCGTACGATCGTGCTTAAGAGTCGAAGAAGAAGCTTAATCCGCGTCTCGCGCCGCGCGCATCATCATTTCGATAGTCGTCGCTAACGCGAAATTCGCCCCGATATTTACCGAACCTCCTTGATAGCAAGAAACAGATAGATGGAAGAGCGAGTATCACGCTTTGCCGTTATCACGTTCGTATGTGAGAAACGACGCGATATCGTGATGCCTTATGTACAAATTCGCGTAGTCTTGAAGAGATAAGATGTCTTATAGCGGTCGATGTGCGCGTGCACGTGTATGTATGTGTGGGCGAATGTTGCGTCCGTGTGTTATATGCGAGTGTGTATTTATATGCGTATTCTACACGCGCGGTAGTCTATATGTATGCACTTGTGTATACGTGTAAAAAAAAAAAAAGGAGAATATATACAAGAAAAAGCAGAAGATACGCATCTGATAGCCATGTAGCTAGTGTAATATTATCTGTATATTACGCGAAGCGATGGGCCGGGAATAATTCGTTCTCACGCGTGCTCCGATCGATTCGATCCGATCCGATCCATCGCTCGTTGTTCACCGTGCTTCGCGCAAAAGGCGTGTGTGCACGTATGTACACCTTCCGCGTCTAAAACCACGCGCTCTGCGGCAAAAATGCAAGAGACGAAATTTGTAGCGAAATTTGTAGATAGTCAGGGATGGACATTCACGTGGGAGACAATGAATTCTTTTCAGCTTCTGATCTTTTAATTGCGCTACCCGGAAAAAAATGTTGTATACGTGAACATTTTATATATAATTATATGTAATTGTATGTAAAATATGTCAATTTTTTATATATGGAACATTTTTTCCGGGTGGAGACCCCTCGATCGTGAGTATTATTTTTAAAAATAATATTTGCCATCTCTCTCTTTCAATCACCTTGTCCCTTTAATAGTTCCTTGCCTGGCAATGCTTCTATCAAGAGTCCAAAGATTTGTCCCCTTCTTTTTCCTTTTTTGTAGCACTTTTTTATGACCCTAGGACTGTTTCGACCAGGACAACTGATAGTCGGATCAAATGAAACACAGAAAGTAAAGTCGGTTGTAATGTTGGCTAGTTTCGTCAGAGACTTACAAAGTACTTTTATATCCATTCTCGGAGGCTCTTCTGATGCAACTTAACATTAGAAGTAGCGAACCAATCGTAATTAACCGTATTTATTTTTTAGATGATATTATGTTTCCCATGTAAAAGATAGGATTCTGAAATTTTTTTATTTTTTTTCAACAATTGTGTTCTTTATACTGATGAAATATTTCATTTCTCATCGCTTTCTTTATTTTCATATAGTAATTTACTCGCGCTTGATCCTTTCAGTCGGTAAGAAACATTGGTATTTTCAATGTTTAAAGACTTGGCCCGATATCTAAACGCTGAAAGATATAATTTTGTTAACCGATATTTTCAATTGTACAGACGAAGATGTATCTTCCGTTTTCTTTTTAACACGTTATCGCTAGGAAACCGGACTATCCGGCTGCTTCGGCTCTCGAAAAGTTCACGTCCGTCCCTGAAACGCGCGGAGAAAGAGAGGCGTCGGCGAAAAGCGATTTCGCGTATCTGGACGTTCCGTTACGTTCCGATACAAGCACAACAAGCATGTCCCACCTCGGGAGCGCGCGCAGGAGGCCAAAAATTCTGTCCGTAGTCGCCGCTTTGTATACAACGCGCGATCATTATAATAACCGAATGATCGAATCGTTATGTAGTTACGTAGTTACGAACGTTAGACGGAAAACGAAGTAATGTGTCTATTTATATCTGTCTATCCGCCTACCTATCTCGTCACCGCATTCTTCCAAATTGATTCCCTCGAATCGTTATCGTCATCGCCGTTTACTGTCCTTTCTTTCATTGCCTACACCGTGCCGTGGA